AATATAATTCGAATATGTTTTTTTGGTTTTTTCCTACACAAAATGGTGATAAAAATGCTCCTGTTCTTCTATGGCTTCAAGGTGGTCCAGGTGCACCATCATTATTTGGTTTATTTAATGAACATGGTCCTATACAAGTTAATGATGATGGAACTTTAACGGAACGACCTATAACATGGAATTCATTATATAATCTTTTATATATTGATAATCCTGTTGGTACAGGTTATAGTTTTACATCAAATGATCAAGGTTATGCACGTTCAGAAGATGATGTTGCACGTGATCTTTATTCAGCATTAACACAATTTTTTCAAATCTATACTGATTATGCATCAAATCCATTCTATGTTACAGGTGAAAGTTATGGTGGTAAATACGTTCCATCAATAAGTTATAAAATTCATGTTGAAAATCAAAATCCACAAGTTAAAGTTAAAATTAATTTAGTTGGACTTTCAATGGGAAATGGATGGACTGATCCGTATAGACAATATGTATATGGACCATTACTTTATCAGGTACTAATGCAAAAGAAGAATATCTCAGTCTTTCAGTTACTTGATAGAAGATCGACTTGACATCGAATTTTCGTGCACTCTGTATCTATTAAGTAGCAAAGTTGAGAGATTACTATTAGAGGAAAAGAATAGATTTGTTTGTTTTTTTTTGTGATTCGGTCAATATCTTTGAGATTAATTATCTAAAAATGTTTTCGTTTACTATATAATCTTAATAATAAAATATTAACATAACTTTTAGATTGGTTTAATTGATGATAATCAATTATTTTATATCAATCTTCAATCAGATTTAGTTCGTTATGCTATAAGTCAAAAACGTTTTACTGATGCATTTACAATATCTGATTCATTAATTGATGGTGATCTTATTAATACAACATCATATTTTTCAAATGTAACAGGTTTACGAGCTTATTATAATTATATACAAACTGATGTTTCTTCATCATTATCAAATTATGTTAAATTTATAACAAATATTGATCGTCGTCGACAACTTCATGTTGGTAATTTAACATTTCATGACGATAATAAAGTTGAAATTATGCTTATAAATGATGTTTTTCAAAGTATACCATCAGAACAATTAACAACTCTTTTTAATAATTATAAAATTCTTATTTATAATGGTCTATTAGATATAATATGTGCTGAAAGTTTAACATTAAATTGGATTGTTGATTTACAATGGTTACATGCAAATGAATATAAAAATGCAAGTCGACAAATATGGAAAGTTGATTCAACAGATAATCAAATAGCTGGATATATTAAAATAATCTATAATTTTATGTTAGCTTCTATACGAAATGCTGGACATTTAGTACCAGGTGATCAACCAAGAGCTATGCTTGATTTATTACAACGTTTTATTAAACTTACTTTTGTTAAATGAAAAAAACGTTTTTCATAATCACATAAAAATTGTTTATCAACACATATAATTTGATAAGAACCATAGGTTATTGTTTGATTAAGTTCGGGCCAATATTGATGACATTTTGTCTTTGAAAAAAATTAAAATCTTTAGGAGCATATCAACGAAAGTAAAAAACGTACTTTAATTTCTTATAATCCACTATCTCTCTCTATATGGTCTGATAGTATAGAGACTGTACCTCATTCACTCAGGGTTTTTTTTTTGGTATGACCCAGAATGTCAACAGATCTATGTAATTCATAAAAGGCAGAAATGCTAAACTTATTATCCAATTGTTTTCAATCTAAACAAATTCTTCTATCAGTAAATGTAAGTCTTACAATACTAATTTAAAGTTTGAGTCATAAGACAATGCATCAATATTTTATTACCAAAACTTAAGAGACGGACCTACTAATTTGGTTTCGTCCTGTTAATAACATCGAGTATTAATTAAAGGGATTAATTGGACTAAGTTAAAATTTCGAAATATGTCCTGATAGGTGCCTATCAGCTTCGTAACTCTAGTGACCATAACATCATATTATATTTGTCTTCAATATATATTCTTTTCTTTAATTAAAGACTTCATGAAGTTGATTACAGCATGACATAACAATTCTGAATCATTTTAATCGCTTAGACTTTGTATAATTAAGTCATATCATGCCAAATCCGAATAAGTACACGAACGTGGTATTATTGTCATGCCTTTTGATATCATCTCTCATTAGAAACGAGTAAGTACTCCAGAGAAAACGAAGAAAAAAAGAAGAGAACACGTATTGAAGACAAATATAATAGGATGTTATCGTCGCATGTCATAACAAATAGCTCTCATCGGAACTTTGTTATTATAATATTAGTTGAAGAATGATGTATTACCACAGAAACATAGAGCATCATTAATTTTATTAGTACGTTCATTATCAATTATTTTATGTTCTAATGAGGAAACTACCCGAACTAATATCTATCATTTGAGCTTCAAAGAAAGTCTCAGTAACATTAGATAAAGGTCGTAAAGATTCGTGCTTACAATACTACTTACCATTCTGGATGCACCTTCGATGATATTTGTTAACATAACTATAGATTTCAATTTAAGTTCCCATATCATACGCCAGAAATCTTCACAAGTATCAAATTTAGGACCTATATAAGAATATCAGTCGTTTGTTTGACTTTTGTTTCGTTTTTAAAATATCAATATTACCTTGAGTAGCAATAAATTTATTTGAACATTTGTATCCCTATTCAATTAAAAAAAATTTTTTTTTTTTAAAACATATCAATAAAGATTTAATTAACAAACTGAAATATAATTTCCATTAATATAATCCGTAGCTGGATCATCATTAAGTAAATTAAGAATAACACGAGTAGTATCAATAGGTAAAATATTAAGAAAACGATTTTTTGAAGCTACGATTGTACGAGTTGCTGATGTACATGGTAATTCTTCAAAATTAGGAATACTCTAATGAGACAAAAAAACAAAAAATACATATATGAAATTCATCGAAATTTCTACATACTTGAAATTCAATAGAAAACGCTAAATCATCAAGTGCATGTTTTTGCATATAAATATCATACAATTGATCAATAGGAAATTCTTTTGGTATTGTAAATTCTTCTATATCAAACAAAAAGAAACAAATTTTTTATTCTTATGTTGTTATTTTTTTGTTTGTACAATTTAAACATACTATGATCATTATTTAATAAATTATTATTAGTTTGTCGTCGAATTTTTGTTGGTGAACAACATGTTGTTATTGATTTTGAAGATGATCGATTTCGACGATCTCGATTATAAGAATTAATTGAAATATTAGCTAGTGTTGGTTTAATAAAAGATGACTGATGACTACCCATATATTTATTATGACTAACTATTTCACTCGAAAATTTTTATCTTTCCGTGTTAAACAACAACAACAAAAAAGAAAAACATCAATAACACGTCATCGTACTAATCCAGTCCCGACACAAACTAATCCTTTTGAAGCTTACTGTGAATCGGTGAATAAGATAATGGTGTACTGTCACGAGATCGTTTGGTTGTCGATAAAGTATGTATACAAGGCAATTGGAAGTAAGCATAAGCACTCTTGATAGGCTGTCTATATAGAGAAAGAAAAAAAAAAACAGAAGAAAACAATCTCATAATTATGTATTTTTCTTTTTACCTAAGAAAAAATGTACAAATAAATGCAAGAAAAACTAAACCACTAAAACTACAGACGAATATAATAGCAAATATTGTAGTATTAGAAGATTCTTTTTTATCAAGTTTTTGTTTAATTGATGGAAATAAAAGTAAACTAGGATTGATTGTTGAACTATATTGTATATCAGTATTTGATGTATTTTTAAATGTAATTATTTGAAAATTTAATGTTGTATTTGAAATATTTACTATTGGTTTTACTTGAATAAGAAATGTTTTTGATGATGGTAATGCTATTTGCTGTTGTGTATTGTCTTAAATAGATAAACAAAACAAGATATACGTTCTCTTAATCATCGAATAAGATTAATAGCAATGCTCTTAAGGGAATCCCATTTTTTTAGGCCTCAAATTTTTTGTTTTTTTTTTCTGCTCTACATGTGCTTTCAAGCGTCTCCACTCTACTGGTGACATTTTGAGAACTTAAATATAGTCCTAAATCAAAAATAAGATCGAAAAGATAAAATGATTGCCGTAGAGGTATAGCACGCGTTTTTTGTTTCTTTTCCGGTTTTCTAGAAACTAAGTTTCTCAGCAGAAATCTACACAACCGTCCCCGTTTCTCAGGCATAGTACATCCGATCAAGTTAAGATTTTTTCTACAGATATCAGAGACATTGTAGGATGGCTACATTCCTTTTTGTTTTGGAAAATATTATACCGCTGAGTTTTTTTCAGGTCTCACAAGACAAGCACTAGCGAAAAGAAAATATGCGTTTTTTAGGGTACTCTTCGTATTTGAGCTTTTTCTGTTCGAACAGAATAAGATAGAAAGAAACCAAAAACGATAGGCACTCTAAACAATGTCTAATATCTGTAAAAATAAAAGTTTCAACTCTGTAGGACATGCTGCGGCTGAGACATGGGGGCGATTTGGAGATGAATTTTTAGACATTATGGCTCTAATATTTCCTTGAAAGAAGCATTGCGGAATTTTGAATATATAACAACTTTTACTCTATACATCGAGATATCTCAGCTGTAAAACTTTCAAAATTCTCTCACGAGCCGTTCTCGAAGCACGTTGAAAAAAGGGGAGGGGGAATCCCCTTAAGTTAGTTTTAAAATAAATGTTGTATTTTGATACATGATTAACAAAATTTCATTGAAATGATTATCACATTAAGATCATATAGATACATATGATATATATTTGAAAAACATTGTAAACTCAATAAAAACAACTTTTCGAGATTTCATGAGCGATAATCTTTCTAGAGTCTTCATTTTGCATAAAATTTCTTTTCTTACTGAATTATTAATGTAACATGTATACATGAAAATGATATTTATTCCTACATAGGATTAAATTCATCTTAAGTAATATGAAATTTAATATCTTTCTCCTTCATATATTCAAAAAAAAATATATATATAATATATCATATGATAAAATAAATATTTTACTTGTTAATAATAATTTTAAATTATATTTTGTTAAATTTTGTCGATTTGCAATTAATTTTTTAAGTATTTCAATTGAATTTGATTTTTTCCATGAATATGAACTTGTCGTATAATTTAATAAATGTTTACTTGATAATAATTTATTATGGAATGTACTAGTTGGAATATGAATAATTCCATTCATTGTATTAATTAAAATTAATAAAATGATAAAATAAAAAAACATTGGTATATTTTTGTCAATCATATTATTGTCGAGTCGATATTCATCTATAAAGAATTTTATATGAACAACAAATAAGCTCCCTTCTATAATAGTATATCTATAGTATAGCAAATAAGAATTGTATTGCATAAAATGAAGGCCAACAACTTGACCGATTACTCACCTTCTATATTTTACAGTATGTTTTATATGACAATTACGTCATCATCTTTCTCCGGATATATCAATTAGAATATATCGCTTTAGTATAAGCTTCCTCCTTCTTTTTATTTGTTGCACGTACATATACATATATCTTTACTTATTGATCGATAAATGCGCATTATATCGTTCCTTTTTCAATAGAGAATAATAACGAACAATTAACCTCAATACGGTGGGAATTAAACAATTCAAACTATGATAGATGAGAGAATAATGGATCATTCGGTTTTTTTTTCTATTATCTATCAATCATACAATTAACATGAATGACATATCGAGGTCACCTTGAACAAAAAAAAAAAAAAAGAAAGAGGAGGCATGAAACACTCTCTTTTCATTGTTATACTATAAAACAAAAAAGAAAAAGAAAATTTCCATTTTCTTTCAATCTAAACAAAGAGATTAATATTTTATTATTGAGGTGATACATTTTATACATAAATATACATCAAAATAATCAATTTTTATTCATATCAAAAGTATACAACAAGTTTGGTTACTACATACGAATTGTTATTTGAATCATTCCTACTATTCACTTCGTAACAATTGACCATTACTTAATCATGACATATATATATATATATTCATATGTGTTTCACTAATTATAACTGACACTCAATTGAATGTAGTACATTTTATATTGTCGTTTCTTTGAATAAAACAAAAACTATTCGAATGCTTATTAGTATACTTTATGTTTCGGTATATTTCATGTTTCAATATTAAAATTATAATTATACACAATTATTATTCATAAAAAAAAAAACATATAGTGTCAATTTATTTGATTTTAAAAAAAAAATAAAATATAAATAGATTTATTAATATAGAAAAGTAAAATGAATTTGGACATCAGCGGATGAAGTCCTTCAGTCTTATTAATCATCATTATCATCATTCTCTTCACCTTCATATGGAATACTATATATGATATAATCAGTTGGTCGTAGTAAATGATGAAATTCATGAAAAATTTTTTCATTAGATACTTCACGAATAAGACCTTCATTTTTCATATATTCATGAATATTCTATAGAACAAAAAAAAAACAAATTAATTTAATAAAATAAAACATATAAGTTTATTTTATTCTTACTGATTTGGTTGAAGAAAGTCGTAAATCAACAAAACTTAAAGGCCAATAATCACGAGATGATTTGGGATAAAATGTTGCATCAACAAATTTTTCAAAAACAAGTTCTTCAAATAATTCTATAGCTCTAGGTTGATCCGACCAAACAGTACCATTATAAGGTAAAGTCTAAAATATAGAAAATAAATTTTTAAGAAAACAAAAAAAAAATATACTATGAAATTTATTCACCTTAGCTAACGAACATGGAACAGCTTGAGCTGGTAAGAATGTAAATTTTCGTCGAATTGGATAAATATTAATTGAATCAACTTTCTCCCAATTACCATAATCAAGATAAACAACATCATATTTATTAGCTATGTTCGTCACTAAAAATAAAAACTAGATATATTGAAGAATAACATAGATAATTATTTTACTTTGTGGAACTGCAATAATTCTTGCACGATAAAATTGATTATCTTTAGTATATTTAACTATACAGTAATCACCATATTTCCATGATGATGACGCATTAATTTTAGGATTGTTCGAATAGTATTCACTAATAAAAATTTTAAAATTAAATCAATATATAAATAAAATAAAATGATTTTACTTGATTTGTTTTTGTAAATCTCGATATCGTTCTTCAAAATGTGCAAGTTGAAGAAAAAATGCTGATGGATGATCAATGTGTGAAACAAATGCTTGTTCATAACATTTCATGCTCAAAACAGGAGTACGACGAATACGTACTGAAAATATCAATATAGATAAATAATTTATAGTTTAAATGCTTTTTTTTTATAAAAAAAAAAAAAAGAATCTGTGTTTATTCAATAGATTCAGCTAAATTTCTATGTAATAATTTTTCATTATTTTGAATTATACTAATATATTGGACATAACAAGCTTAATTACTACGATTACACTTTATTACTCGTGAGAGAACCTTGCAAGATATCAAATCGCCGTTTTTTTGCATATATTTAAAATTTGAAGTCGAAACTCACAAAAAAAAATTTCAGTAAAATTTCAATATCTCGAGAATGAAGGTTTGTATTTAGTTGAGTTACTTGGTTTATTCTGATCGAAATTTTCATTTATATCATCATCTTCTTGATTAAGTGGTGTATCTCTTGATAATGATGATGAAGCACCATTAGTTGTTATGCTATCAACTGCTGATGTTCGTTCAGAAGTCGGCATTGTTCCTCGACCAGAATCAACAGTTGATGCTCGAAATAGATCATTCGTTGGTGTTCGACTCGAATCATTTTCCGATTCGAGATGTCGAACAGATCGACGATTCGAATCCATTTGGTATTTATCTACAGCATAAATATGACTTGGTTTTTAAAAGATACTAATTAGAATTTCTATGTACACAAAAAATCATACACACAATAACAATAATGTGCGTAAGGAAACAGTAAAAAAACTCCACGTCACATTCTTGGAGTAGTTATTTTTTTTTAATATCTTTTGACTAGTAGTATTTTATTTTGATTCAATTTCTATTATTGTTCTTCTATTCAACACCAAAGATAAGAAGCACAATTGAGTTTTATAACGAGATAAAGAGAAAAAAAACAAAGTAAAGATATTGGTAAAAACAAGGACTTGAACCTATTTTGATTTCATATATATTTGTTGCCAATGCAATAAAAGTATCAGTTGTAGAACAACTTTTTATTATTATTATATAAGATTTTTGATTGACTAGTAAATTTTAGTTCATCGATAAAGGATAGAATCAAGAATATTGATAAATAACTGAAGATAGAATAGAAAAAAGAAGACTATGTCAATAACATTGCCGTTTTCATTTATTACACAAGTTACTGAAGTAATAATAGATGATTGGTCTTAAAAGTGAGATTATTTCAAGTATCATACTCATTGGTTGTAGAATATCAAAAAAAAAAGAAATATTCATTGAAATGACCATCGAAATGAGAATAAATCATTTTATGATCGTGATTGTTTCGAATAAGACGAGCAGATCCATCATTAAGAACAGTTTCTGCTACATTCTATAATGAATAAATACATATTTTGTGTATTTATTGCTATTACAATCGATGAATAAATGTGCTAAAAGAGGTTTTGTTTCAATTAGGTTCAGATTTTTTTTAAGACAGATCAATACTGCTTGAACGATACTAAATAATAGAGTTTTTATTTACCTGATTATTTGCGTTGATATTAAGAAAAAATAATGGCTATCATTTTTTCATTTGAAAAGAAATTTATAGAGCCGAATAATATTGATGCGTTATCGGATTTGATTAGTAAATAACCTAATTTTTTGCGTATATTGTTTGCTGGTATTTGTATTTTTGTGAGAGAAACCAGTTTCGAAACTTTTCTCTTCCGAAAGGTCTATTGAATAAATAGGTGTAAACAAAATATATAAAAGAATCAACTTACATAAGAACGTGTCATAGTGATGCTTTATATTTTTGATTCTGTAAATTCATTTTGTGATGGATACGTATTTTTATAGGGTTTTCATTGAAAATTTCTCCAGTCAACAATCATAATCAAACATAGCTTATCTAGAAACAAATATTCATTAACGTTAAAAAAAAAATTCTAATTAAACTTACGTATATGATCGGTTTTAATAATTCTAGCTCGATAAAATTCTGAATATCATTTTCATTATGAAAGACAAAAATCGATGGTATGGAAAACTACTTGTTTTTTTGCTTGAATAAAATCAACTATTGATCGGCAATAAAACAAAAAAGATAAGAGAAAAAAAATACTCTCACTTCATATCGTGATGCATTTCTTAAAATGTCAGATCATCATCAGATATTTAAATAAAAACAGCTGATGGATTATCAAGATAAGTTATCAGACAATTAGAATATCGTGTATATTCTTCACATATTTTGTATTGTAAGATTGTTATCAACAATGAAAATAGAAGAAGGAACTTTACTTCAAGAACCAAAAGCGTTGTAATTGCAAGTGTTTTGTAAGCACAAAACTGTTTATCATTTATTATTGATAATGACGAAAGTCGACTTGCAACATCTTTATCAAAAACTATAGATGATAGTGCATTGCTCGTCGATGGTCATGTGTTTGATAAGAAAGCTAATATGGTTTTTTTGAAATCGATGGTTGAAAAATACATTCTACTTGCAGCTCCATTAATATCTTTTGAAAAAATTATTATTAAAAATAGAAGTCGTCAAAATACATTTTGGCTTTTGAATTCTACTTAGTTTTTCTGCAGCTAATTGACCAAATGTTTGTTAATAACCTTCTTAATGTTCTCGACTTTGGCTGATCAATAAAACGAGCTAAACTATAGAAAAATATTGAAGATTAATTTCGAAATATAAGAAAATTGTATTTTAGTGAATTCAAGTTTCAAAAAGATTTTGTGACTTTTTATTATATTTGTTTTACTTTCGTCTTTGGAACAAAAAACTAATGCAATCTTTGCATATTATGGTTCAGAGCATCAAAATACTTTGTTCATTCAAGTGATTCGAAATCAACAAAATCAAAATGCATTTGATAGAAATCAGATTTTAATATTAGAATTAGAGAAATGACTGCACTAGAATGAATTCGACTCACATACATATCGATAGAAGTCATTGTTGTGTGTACCATTGTGTAGATGACGAGTGAAACATAAGTCGATTG